CTGTCTCAAAAAAAAAAAAAATTAGCCGAGCATGGTGGTGCATGCCTGTGGTCCCAGCTACTCAGGAGGCTGAGGCAGGAGGATCACACTAACCTAGGAGATGGAGGCTGCAGTAAGCCGAGATTGAGCCATTGCACTCCAACCTGGGCGAAAGAGCCAGACCCTGTCTCAAACCACCCCCTGCCCCTACAGAAAAATAACAAACGAAAATTATCTCATAGTCCTGATATCATCTCTATAGTTGAAATCTAACTCAAAGATATTCGGCATCTCTTGACCCTGTTACTTGTAGTTTAATTCATAAACTTGGAATCAGTCATTCAGAAAACATTCAGGAGGCTGTCAGAGGCCCTGAGCTGGGCTTGGGAGTTCTGAGAAGAATCAGGTATGGACTAGACTCCTGAAGAGCTCACAATGAAGAAGCAGCAGGCAGGCTAAACAAATAATTCCAAACAACATGACAGTTCCCTAACTGGAGCCCAGAGGAAGGAGCTGTTACTGCCTTCTACAGGAATGAGCATTTGAAATCGATTCCAGAATACATTTTTACTTAATAGGGTGTAACCTATATGAAGTCCTAAACCATTTTCTTATTTGTTGTTTCTCAATCTTCAAACCTGAAACTCCTCAGGGCTGGAAGCTGTTTCCTCTGATCAGAATGGATCCCTTATGAGGGTAGGGACCCTATCTCCTTCTGGGACCATCCACAGCATGAATTGTCTATTTACTTGGAAGCTTCCCTTAATCAGAGTGTTTTAGTGCAAATCTCACTTTACCATAACAGAGAAAAACTGAGGTTGAAAAATCAGTTGGACGAATGATGTAAAGACATGTGGGTAAGAGAACATAAACTTTAAAAAACTATGAAATTTTTTTTTTTTTTTTTTTTTGAGACGGAGTCTTGCTCTGTCGCCCAGGCTGGAGTGCAGTGGCCGGATCTCAGCTCACTGCAAGCTCCGCCTCCCGGGCTCGCGCCATTCTCCTGCCTCAGCCTCCCGAGTAGCTGGGACTACAGGCGCCGCCACCTCGCCCGGCTAGTTTTTTGTATTTTTTAGTAGAGACAGGGTTTCACCGTGTTAGCCAGGATGGTCTCGATCTCCTGACCTCGTGATCCGCCCGTCTCGGCCTCCCAAAGTGCTGGGATTACAGGCTTGAGCCACCGCGCCCGGCCAAAACTATGAAACTTTTAATGATCTTGTAAGTGCTTTGGAGAAGGATTTTTGTATTAGACTGCACCAACACTGAATGTGAGCCCAGGGATATAACTGAACATTTTTATGCCTCAGTTTTCTCATCTGTAAAATGGCTATAGTTATAGCATCTACTTAATAGGTCCGATATGTAAAGTTGAATAGGTACTGTACATAAAGTTTATTCATGTAAAATGCTGAAAATAAAGTCTGAAAATACTGAGAAAATAACACCATGGTAGCGATTATTGTTGCTGTTCTTATTAACTCTTAAAATAATGATGACGTCAGACACTGTGCTAAAGAGATCAGGAAAGGAAGGCAGTAGTTCCTAGGATAGTCTGTACATTCTCCTTCTCTCACCTGTATTTGCATCTGTGAGGAAAGTTTCTTGTCAATGGGATTTGGGAAACACTTACCTTCTGGTGTTTACTCTGTTCCACGCTGAAGGCCATCCAAGGAGGTTTGACTAAAAGGTGATGAGAAATCAGTGGTTTGCTTGGTAAAGATTTCCAAACTCTAGAGAT